AGTCTTTATAGTTTAATACCTACTTCTGGGTTTGTTAAGCACATTAGCATTCCACATCATTAGAACCTCAAACCAGATTTTAAAAGCACAAGACAGGAAATATTCAAAGAGCAATACTGAAATTTGGACACAAATATTGTAAGAATTGGTGACAGCAAGGGTATGTCTACACTGCAATCATGCAGTATGACTGCAGCTCACGTAGACATACCTGTACTAGCTTTAATGTAGCTTGCTCTGGTACTAGAGCAGTGAAGTTGTGGCAACACAGAGTGGTCTGTATAAGCCCACCCAGATTCCTGGTTAATTACTAGAGTGGCTAGCCCATGCTCCCATGGCTTCACTTCTCCAGTATTCAAGGTAGCTAGATTTAAGCTAGCTCAGGTATGTCTGTGAGAGCTGTAATCACACCCCATGATTGCAGTGTAGACATATCCCAAATGAGAGAAGCATCCAAGTATGCATCCCCACAAGAAGTGACATCGCTGACCCAAGTGAATGGACTCCCTTAAATTGAGCACCAATAACAGGCAGTGCACTAAGCTCTAGTGCCCTCAATTGGTAAAAACTTTCTGCTGTCATCTCCAAAAGAAAGTTCTGCACTCAGCCAGTGACACGAAGTGAGCTCAAGTCTTCCCAGCACAGCAATGGCAGACTCACCTCCAAGTCAAGGCAGACTCCCTGGGGATCACTGCTTTACCAGGAAAGAAGTAATGAGGCAGCTTTTGGGACTAATGAGAATGAAGCCATTTCCGAGATGTATGAAATGTTACTGTCACCTAGCTCTGTAAATCATCTTCAAAATTGCTCAGAGATGCACTCATTTCTATCCTGACACAGGAGAGAAAAAAAGTGCACTTCTGCCCACATGACCAGTAAGCATCTTTCTTATCTGGGCATCAGCGCACAGGTCAGACAGCTCAGGAGATTTCAATGTCCTTGTTACAACCAACTACTGGACAAATGCAGATCTAGGTGTGAAGGTCAGTCAAAGGATGCTTACAATTAATGGAGTTCTTCCCGTATACTGCCTCTGCCACGCTAAAGAATTCTAAGCCAAACTGTGTAATGCTGGAACCAATGTAAAGTGGTTTAACCACTAGGGGGCATAACTGTAGTTATATGATACCCTGGTCCAATTACTGTCCTCAGTTCCTCACTGTTTCATCTACACTTAGTTATCATACACCAGTGGTTTGTCTAAACTAGGAAAATAAATTGTGTTTGAAAGTGTGTAAAACTCCACAATTTTAAAACACAACTATGAAGGTAAGGTAGGCAGTCCAAGTTATGTTTAAAATTGATAATTCTCAAACAACTTATTTTCCTGGTATCAGTCTACTCACCAAGCCACCATCAGTTAGATGTAGTGGTGAGGGTGCCTTCCCATGTCTTTGGTGGGGGGGGGGGGAGGAGAGTCAGTGTGGATGTGCAGAAGCAATATGTTCCAAGACACTCAGGTCACTGGAGAGTAACCTTTTCTACCACATGGAATTGCCTCTGTACTGTAGGAAACTGGCAGGCAACAGCAACCGGGTAGGAAGGTTAATGAGAGTTTAACTAACGGTTGAAGGACTGATCTCCGAACATAAGCATCCAGTTTGGTTAAGGGCATTGCAAGTTCTTCAGGGCAGGGATCTAGTGTTTTGTTTTATTTATTAGGAAAGCACCTAGCCCACTTTGGGTAGTATAAATAGAATAATTATAATTGATAATAGGCTCCAAAGTAGAGATAGTACTTCTAAGAAAAAGTGTGAATTGAACTCCAAGTTGTGGCCTTATAAGTCATCAATATGCATGTAACATAAAAGACCTAGGAGGAGACTTTCTTTTTAGATTGTGGACTGTGCCTCCAAACCATGGGCTCTACCATAAATGATTATAGTAATCTTCCTCCAATGGAGTGAATCCCAATGGACTGGAACTCCTGCCTATAGTAGGTTTGGTACATATTTATCAAGGTGGGCAGAAATCAATTCCTTAAATGCACCAACAAATGGACGAACATCTGAAAGGGCTTGGATCCTTTCCAAAGAATAACAAAGCTCTTTGCACACCCCACTTATGCAGTCTAGCTTTCCCAGGCACATTGTGAGACTTTGGGAGAAACAGTGGAAGAACAAGGCGTCCTGATTCTGCAATTAGGTCTGTGAAAACAGACCTCAGCTAAAGTAAATGGAACTCCTCACAAAATCACGTGGTCTGCTCGAACAGATTCAGCTGAAAAACTGGGATATAGGTTTGGTTCAGGTGAAATTCAGACATTGCCATAAGAAGAAACTTCAGATGGACACACTGCGTTATCTTAACTGTGAAATACTCCATCAGGAGAATCTGCTACCAAAGCTTGGATTTTACTCATCGTCCTACCTAAACAGGTAACTCCTAGGAAGACAATTTTAATGGAAAAATAATTTTAAAATGCATTTAAAAGGTTAAAGCTGCAAAATGAAGCATAAGTCAGGAAATGCCAGTGTCTATGTTACACACAAACTCTTCTCCACTTGCGTACATATTGAGATACCATCTTTAATTACATTATCTTGAGATATTGCCAGCATATCTGAGTATCATAACCTGGCAAACCTTTCGGAACTTCTAATTCCACAGAAGTGCAGTCCTGTTTTATTTTCTGTAAGACACAAGATATCAATGGGAAAGGGAGAAAAATGTAGACAGAAGCTCCAGACTCCAGTGAAGGAGAACTTTTTTTTCCTCCAAAAAACAAAAAAAAAAATTGTTCTTTTTTAGATCTCCTCAAAACAAAATTTTGAGCTCTTGGCATTGCCTCAGAAAGAAAATAAGCCTTTTGGGTTACATCACTTGGGGAAAAGTGTGTTCATAGCATAGCACTGGTGTGTGATCTGATCTTGGCAGTTCTAACTGTCCATACAGAATTCCACTGGGCTGCCATGTGAAGAGCAAAAGGAGCCTTGTGGCTGCACTATTTCAACAGATCATTACAGAGGAGAGAAGAATGAACTTCCTTTTTGATGGTTTAGACCAATGATACTCACACCTCAGTGGTTCAGGAGCCAAATTAGTGATGAACATTACCCAGAAGAGCCACAGTAGTGTGAATTCATTGTTTCATTTACCATAGTACTAAATATTAAACAATATGACAGGGGAAATATATAAATAAATATAGACACATACACACACAGAGAAAAATGACTGATCAAGTATTATTTTATCATCTACCACTGGTTAATAACATAGTAAAAGCAACTGATTAACCAACCTAAGTTATTAACCAATTAAATCACACAGTGTTTTAATTTCATGTGCTGCAGAGAGACACATTAAAGAGCCACTTGTAGCTCTTGAGCCTCAATCGGAGTATCACTGGTTTAGTCATTTGTGATAGCCACGTTGCCTTTTAGTATTTCTTTTTGAGAGAATATGACAGCAGCAACAAAGGCTTTGAAATAGACCAAGCCAAAATATTTTTTTCCCTTTGTTTGTGATAGATCTAGCAGCTTCCTTTCAGGCATCTGTGGACCCTTAAATACAGAAGGCAGAGTGGGCATGTCCTCCTCTAATACAGTAGAACCTCAGACTTACGAACACCTCAGGAATGGAGGTTGTTCATAACTCTGAAAAAAACGTTATGGTTGTTCTTTCAAAAGTTTACAACTGAACACTGACTTAATACAGCTTTGAAACTTTACTATGCAGAAGAAAAATGCTGCTTTTAACCATCTTAATTTAAATGAAACAAGCACAGAAACAGTTTCCTTACATTGTCAAATCTTTTTATTTTACTTTTTAACTTTCCCTTTATTTTTTTAGTAGTGTACATTTAACACAGTACTGTACTGTATTTGCTTTTTTCCCCGTCTCTGCTGCTGCCTGATTGTGTACTTCTGGTTCTAAATGAAGTGTGTGGTTGACCCATCCGTTCGCAACTCTGGTGTTCGTAACTCTGAGGTTCTACTGTACTCCCGTTTCATTCTCACTCTGAGACTAACGGCTGCACAACATGAATATCCTCAAGGGGAATGACTCTCTCAAATGTGTTTTGAGCTCCTAACATGCAGATTCATGACAGGAACATTATTCTCACATGAAATACAGAACCTGAAGCCTGTGCATTTCTCCAAATCCACCTGAACTGGATTCCACGCTAATCCTATTAAAACTAATCTTAAATCCTTATTTAAATAACTATCTAAGAATAAATTGTAATATTATTGGAAGTCACCAGATGGCACTATTAGAGATACTCTAACAAAATCTTTTTAATTGAATGAATAATAAGGTAGGGCTTGTCTATATGGGAGATTTTTCCAGTTATACCAGAATAGTTAAACCACTATACTTATACCAATTTAACATCTCTATCTGGAGACTCTTATTTGGGAAGAAAAGTGGCTCCTTTTGGGCGATGGGGGGGGGAGGCTTATTTTAAGTCACTTCCAAATAAGGTGACCAGACAAAAAATGTTAAAAATCAGGACAGGGGGTGGGTGGTAATAGGAGCCTATATAAGAAAAAGACCCAAAAATCGGGACTGTCCCTATAAAATCGGGACATCTGGTCACCCTACTTCCAAATGACATGCGCTAAACCAGAAAAAGGCACTCTTGTACTGGACTAAGAACATCCCCATTGGGAGATATACCAATGCAACTACATTGGTTTAAATTCACACCCTACTTTATATTGGTATAACTTTCCTGTGGAGACAACCCCTTAGAGCTTCGGAGAAATACTGTGTTAGCTGTAATGTAGTTCTTTTTATACAGGAGTATAGTTGTTTATTGCTTCAACTTCTTGGCCTAGAAAAAATGCTTAGGTTCAGAGCAGCTGTAAAATGGTTACTAACCTGTTCCATAACTGTTGTTCTTAGAGCTGTGTTGCACATGTCCATTCCACTCCTGGTGTCAGTACGCCCAGCTGTCGGAAACTTTTTCCCCTCAGCTGTACTCATTGGTTGGCTCAAGTTTCCACTGCTGCAGAACACCACTGTGTGCAGGGATAAAGGGCATAACTCCCCCAAGCCCTTTCAGGTCCTTCTTGCCGCAACTCCGAAGTAGAGAGGTAGGAGGGCGGGTCATGGAATGGACATGTACAACACCTCTTGAAGAACAAGAGTTATGGAACAGGTTAGTAACCTTTTTTCTACATGTGATTGCACATGCACATTCCTCCTGTGGTAACTCACAAGCTGTAGGAACAGGAGGTGGAATCAGAGTCTATTTCAATAAAGACTGGAGAACAACTCATCCAAATCTAGAGTCGTCTCTGGAGTCTTGATCCACAGCATAGTGGAAGGCAAATGGGTGGAACTAGCACTAGACTACCACTCTACAACTGTGTGCAATTGGAACTTGTGCCAGAAAGGTTGTCAAGGCCAATTGTGACCTTGTTGAATGAGTTCTGACTCTGTCGGGTGGAGCAACATTAGCCAAGTCATAGCACAGGCATATACAGGATATGATCCAGGGAGAAATTCTCTGGGTGATTGACCTCTTATTCTGTCCACCACCGCTATTAACACCTAGGAGGCTTTACGAAAGTTTTTGTCCAGGTAAAACGCTACGGCTCTCCTTACATCCAAGGTATGCAAATGCTGTTCCTCCCTCATCATATGTGGCTTTAGGTTAAAATGGGCAAATAAGTTAGTTGGCTGATGTGGGAAGAAGAAACTACCTTTGGGATGAACTTCAGATAAGGATGGAGGTAAACCTTGTCCTTAAAAAAGATCATATATGGAAGCCCTGACATTAATGCCCATAGCTCCCTTCCTTTTCTGGCCGAGGTAACAACCACCTATAATGACACCTTCATTGACAGAAGCAGCATAGAGCAGGGAGCCAACAGCTCAAACAGGGAACCCATAAGTCTTGACAACACTGAGTTTAGCTCCCACACGAGAACTGGGTTTTGTACCTGAGGGTATAATTTGAATAGGCCTTTTAAAAAACGTACAGACATGTCATTGGAGAAAACAAAGCAATTGTTCACATTAGGGTAGAACATGGAAATAGTTGCCAGATAAACCTTAACTGACTTAACCACCAAACCTTGGTGTTTCAGGTATAAGTAGTACTCCAGAATATGTAGAACTGAAGAACTGGTCAGTGACACTCGAAACTGGTGAGACCAGACAGAAAAATGCTTCCATTTAAGAGAGGTAAGTAGCTCTTGTAGAAGGCTTTCTACTATTTAGCAGGATCTCTAGAATGTCTCTCTCTAGTGTCTAACCATGGAGCATCCATGCAGTTAGGTGATAGGATTGTAGGCTTGGGTGGAGTAGGCAACCATAATCCTGAGCAATTAGGTCCAAGTGTAATGGAAATGAAATTGGAGGTTTCCCTGACAGTGCCAGGAGAGCACAGAACCAGAGCTGATGGGCCCATACTGGGGCTATAAGTATGACTCTGGCCTCTCTTATCATTAGTAATACCCTGTGAATGAACAGGATTGGTGGAAAAACACAGAAAAGCCTGCCTGACGTCAGTAAAAAGGCATCTGTTATGGAACCTGAGCTGTGACCCTTTAGGAAACAGAACTGCTAGCACTTTCTGATGGACTTTGTCACAAACAGGTCTACGTGGGGAAACCCCTCACTGCTGGAAGATGTATCTGGCCACATCTGGGGGAAGAAACCACTCGTGGTGACTTGTAAACAATCTGCTCAAGTGGTCTGCTAGGTCATTCTGTCCTCCTGGCAGATAAGATGCTTCTAGATCTATCAAATTGGCAATACAGAGCTCCCAGAATAGAGTCACTTCTTGACAGAGTGGAGAAGAGCAGGCTACCCCAGCTTATGAGGTAGAACATTGCTGCTGTGTTGTCTGTGAGGACTAACAGGCCGCTTCCCTGGATCTGCGACAGAAATACTTGGCATGCCAGTCTGACTGCTTTCAGTACTCTGACAGTGATGTATAAAGCTAAGTCCTCTGAGGACTATAGACCTTGTGTCTGTAGAGAATCCAGGTGAGCTCCCCATCCCAGAGCTGAAGCATCTGTCACTAGCAAACAGAACGCTGACACATACATTGGCTGGATTTGTCCATCAATCTAGGGAGGTGAGGACATGGGAAGGCACCCTCACCCACTACATCTAACTGATGGTGGCTTGGTGAGTAGACTGATACCAGCAGCCCTACAGAGTTCTGAGATGCAAGCTGGCATATTGAACTACGTACGTGCAAGAGGCCATGTGACCCAAAATACTCTAACAGTTTTGTGCTGTTGTGACCGGGTAAGCCTTCAAACCTATAACAATTGATCAAATTGCCTGGAACCTGGAGTCCAGAAGAAAGGCACTGGCTTGAGATGAGTCCAGTACAGTCCCTATAAGCTCTATCCTCTGGACCAAGGAGAGGAGAGATTTTTCCTCTCAGAGCATTAGATCAGGGCAACATTGTTCTGTACTTGCAGTTTGGACTAACCCATGAACAGCCAGTCATCCACATAGGGATAAACCAGACCTCCTGATCTTCAGAGTAATTTAGCTACTACTGCCATGACTATTGTAAGACCTGGGAGCTGCTGAGAGGCCAAAAGGCTGTACAGTGAACCAGTAATCATTTTACCAGAAATCAAAGGTACTTCCTGTGAACCTGATCGTCACATGGAAATAGGCATCTTTTCATTCAAGGGCAGCATACCAGTCCCCAGCATCCAGGGAAGGGATAACAGAAGCTAAGGTGACCATGCAAAACTATCTTTTTAAAGAATTTGTTGAATTGACACAAGTCTAAAATTGGTCACCCCCGCCCCTTCACTTTTGGGATTAGGAAATATCAGGAATAAAACCCCTTCCCTCTGAGACCATTTGGAACCTCCTCTATGGCTCCCAAGCAAAGGAGTGATTGTACTTCCTGGATAAGGAGTTTGTTGTGAGAGTGGTCCCTGAAGAGGGATGAGGAGGAAGGGGTAAAAGCAAACTTGAGAGTATATCCCACTTCCACAATGCTCAAGACCAATGGGTCTGAAGTGACACGGGACCAAGCACTGTGGAAGGGGGACAGATGTTTTGCAAAGGTGAGGGAATTTGGGTCTGAAAAGATGCAGACTGGTAAGCTGACCTCGACTGACCCATAAAAATGACTGTTTTGCACTTCCCGGATGTCTTGAAGGGTGTGGAAGTGGAGCTGAACCTGCAGGAGGGGGAGGCGTATGTCTATAACCCCAGGAACTCTTTCTGACAGGCTCTGTTGAGGAGTGGAATATCAGTGCATTTGCTGGGGCTGATAGTGCTTCCCGACCAGGCCAGGTATGTACAGACCTAAAGACTTCAAGGTGGCTCTAGAGTTCTTAAGTCCACGGAGCTTGTTGTCCATCTGGTCCTAGAACAGAGAAGGACCCTCAAATGGCAAGTCCTGGATAGTGATCAGTACTTCATAGGGAAGACCAGAAGACTACAACCAGGATGATCTATGCATTGCAACTGTGGAAGCCACGGTTCTAGCTGCTGAGTCTGCTGCATCGAGCTCCGCCTGCAGCAAAGTTCTTGCGACTAGTCTGCCCTCATTGACCAGGGCAGAACAAGCGTTCTCAAGGAGTAATTCTCTGAACTTTTCCATGGAGGACCACAAATTAAAATCATACTGCCCCAACAGAGCCTGTTGGTTAGCAATACGCAGTAGCAAATACGCGGTTGAATAAATCTTTCTGATGAATAAGTCTAGTCTCTTAACATCTTTTGATTTGGGGTGGCAGCCCAGTGCCCTGTCGCACTCTCTCATTAGCTGCTGTGATGACTAATGAGCCTGGAGGTGGGTGAGTATAAAGGTACTCAAAACCTTGGGAGGGTACATAGTACTTTCTTTCTGCCCTTTTAGAAGTGGGAGGCAAAGAGGATGGATCATAGATCATAGAATATCAAGGTTGGAAGGGACCTCAGGAGGTCATCTAGTCCAACCCCTTGCTCAAAGCAGGACCAATCCCCAGACCGATTTTTGCCCCAGATCCCTAAATGGCCCCCCTCAAGGATTGAACTCACAACCGTGGGTTTAGCAGACCAAGGCTCAAACCACTGAGCTATCCCTCCCCCCATCTGCCATAAAGCCTTCAGTATCGCCTCATTAACTGGCAGAGCTACCCTGGAGGGACCCACAGATGATAAAGTGTCCACCAAGCAATGTGAGGATTCTCTAACCTCCTCAGCCTATATACCTAAGTCTGCAGCCACTCTCTTTAAAATAATCAGGAGGGGGTGAAGTTATCCCAGACAAAATGGCCTCATTTGCAGAGGACAAAGAGGATGCCAAGACTGGAGGGGTAGAATCTTTTCTACCAGCTGTTGCTCTGGTTCTCGAACCTCTTCTTGATGCTCGGTACTGGAGCCAGTATCAGATTCTAGGGATGGAGCTGCTTGGTGCATAGATTCTCCCCTTCTAGACAAAGGCACTGAGTACACACGGTGTGGGGAAGATCTGGAAGCCAGGGGAAAACCCCCACAGGTTCCAAAATGGCCATTGGTATGGGGCCTGTTCCCACTGTCCTGGCCACATTCCCATTGAACAGTCATGGTGGTAGGTGAGAAGAGAGGATCTTTGAGGAGACAGACGGGTCCTGTTTCGGGGCTGTGAGATGTAAGATTCCACCTCTGAGTCTGACGACAAAGATTCCCCTTCCTGTGACCATGGCAGGGATGATCCAATCGGTGCCAGGGACCAGCGCCAAGAGCCTTTCAATGGGAAGAGCGACACCATCATTGCAGGCTCCCCATTGAACGGTACTGACAGTCTGCCTGTCCAGGAAGCAGGCAACTGCAGTACTGGAGGTTGGATTGCTGGCAGACGGGGCAGCAGTGCCGAGGTAGTGGACTCCTGTGAGAAAGGAGACAGTGGCAACAAGAAGTTAGAGAAGAATTCTTGGGGCAGTCGACACCAAGATGGTCTCTTGTTGTGGTACCGAAGAAGTTGACTGTGCCACTTCTAGCACCGGGCTTGACAGTGCACCTTGCAGCTCCGGAGGCGACTGAGCCAACTTAGACACCAGTTTGGAGGAAGGGTGCTTAGGTTTTAAGTGCTCTCTACTGAACTCCTTCTTGCTCCTCTTACCAGACTTAGAGGATGGAGACCTTCCCCGGCCAGGGCTTCTCTAGAAGTTTTGTATTTCTTCCATGGTACAGGTGAAAGAGAAGAGTGCCTGGATTCCGCGAAAGCTGCAGGCAGCTTCTCACTGAATCTGCAGCACTCAGCATTGAGTCAGACCAGGATGGCTCCAATGGTGGCCTGAGCTCCACCTCCATCAGCAGGAATGTCAGCCTAGCCTCCCTATCCTTCTTTGTCTTTAGGCCTAAACTCCCTGCAAATCTGGCACTGGTCCTTTGTGTGTTCTTCCCCCCAAGCACTTCAGGCAGCTATTGTGCAGGTCACTCACTGACATAGGCCTTTTTTATTTTATTTTTTAAACAGCACAACTAAAACTTACTAACTACACCAAAGACTAGATTACCTACACACACCACAACCTATGTACAACGGCTGAAAGAAAGACCTGTTCTGATATTGAACAGAGTTCCAATGATCATTGTGGGAGGTAAGAAGGAACTGAGGGTGCCCGTTATACCTGCGTGCAGTGGCACACAGCAGCAAGGGGCGCTCCAGCTACCCAGCAGGTATCACTGAAGGAAAAAGTTTCTGGTGGCTTTGCGCAGGGCACACCAACACCAAGAGTGCAAAGCACATGTGCAATAACTTGAAGAACTGCAGGTTATACGTAGGCGAGCAAACACACACATTACATAAACTAACGTCTTAACTGGAAATTTAAGCTAAATAAACAGCACAGTCAAAGTGAGGGAACTGGTTCTGACACTACACAGACAATGGAAATAGAGAAACCAGGGGATGTTGTACAAGAGGGACCTTTATAACTGCAGCTGAAATATATCGGTGCACACATCACAATACTTAGATTGCTTTTGCAATGGTTCTCGGTCTGCAAAATATAGCATGTGACAGGTAAAGTCAAAATCAGCAGAGGCAATTTCAGGAGGGAAAGCTATACATGTCCTTTAATCTCTAGAGATCCGGGTTCAAATTTGACTTAGGTACTAAACTTCAGACCATCTATCTTGTTTCACTCTATACCCATAAAACAAACAAACCAAACTCAGTCTGGTAGTCTACTAAGGAGAGGCTCAGGAGCAGAATACCAGAAGTCCTGCATGTTAAGAATTAGGTGAATTTGCTGAGTTGTGTGGAAAGAATTCAGAAATAGATTTCAGAGAAGATGTTTGGCAAGAATGACAAGGTTTATACTGAAAGAAGAAAGTCAGCCTTGCTAAATGAATGGTGACAGTAGCAAGTCATGCTTTAATGCAGCGAATGACCCCAGGGACTACTTTTCTTTGGGGGGGGGGGGGAATACACTAGTTATTGCTGTGGATGTTCTGCACACGTTCTTGTGTTTTTCTTGGACATAGGGTGTGGCAGGGTAGATTAGAGGAGCTTCATGCAAGCTGTGCAGTCAGTTTGCCAACCCACCAAAAGTAGTCTTCAGGTCAGCTTCTGCCTCATACTAAGAAAAGGGGGAAAAGAGAGCAGATGAAAACAGCCAGAAAAAGGCAGTTAGACCTACAAATAAATGCAGCATGTGTGTTTGGAGACGGGGTGTGTGTGGAAGAAGGGGATTGCTCTCACCCTGAGGCAGACAGGTGTTGCAATCCAATATCAGCAAACCAAGAAATTTAAATATTTGCACTTTCACAAAACCCCGTGAAATAGGACACAAAATGGCACAACATTCCTCCATTGACTCTAGGCCGGTGGTATCCAAACTTTTTTGATTGCGCACCCCCTATCAGTAAAAATTTTTTGAGCAGGCACCCCTGCCGTGCTGAAGTGCAAAAAAAAAAAAGCCGCCCAAACTGCCGAAGCAAAAAAATAAATAAATAAAAAGCCGCTCAGACTCCTGCCTGACGAAGCAAAAAAAAAGCACTCCTCCTGCCGCGCACCCCACTTTGGAGACCACTGCTCTAGGCTGGTGGGCAAACACACAGGCCAGATAAGGTAGAATAAAGCTCCCAACAACTGTTAAGTCAAGACGCTTTCCTAAGAGCTAGCTCTATTTTCAAGCAACGGTTTTAAAACAAGAGCAAATAAAATCAAAACACTGGATATTAACCACCCAACATTTTCCCAGCTTCCACAAGCTGGGAGGTGAGAGGACCACACTCTACCCCTTTAGCAGCCTCCTTGGCTACTATGAAGAGATTCATACTACAGCTTCCCTGACCCCGAGTCTCCCCTATCTACTGTCCCTGCACCAGAGGCCTGGTCTAGACTATAAAGTTAGATCAGGGGTTCTGAAATTGGGGGTCGGGACCCCTCAGGGGGTCACAAGGTTATTACATGGGGGGTCGCGAGCTGTCAGCCTCGACCCCAAATCCCGCTTTGCATCCAGCATTTATAATGGTGTTAAATATATTAAAAATTGTTTTTAATTTGTAAGGGGGGGCCGCACTCAGAGGTTTGCTGTGTGAAAGGGGTCACCAGTACAAAAGTTTGAGAACCACTGAGTCAGATCAACCTAAGTGAACATACATCAGCCTGGCTGTGATGCATCTACACCAAAATTTGTCTCCCACTGACATGAGTATTGTTTAGGAATTGTGGAAAATTGATAAGGGAAACAAAAGAACATAAGGAGATCTCTATGGCCAGCAGAGTTAAAGACAATAAGGAGTTTCTAAAATATATTAGGAACAAAAAGAATCCTGACAATGGTATTGATCCATTACTGAATGGGAATGGTAGAGTTATCAATAATAATGAAGAAAAGGCAAAAGTGTTCAATAAATATGTCTTTTCTGTATTTGGGGGGGGGGGAACAGAATATAGGCTCGTCCTATGGTGGTGGTAACACTTTCCATTCCACTAGTATCTCTGGAACGTGTTAAATAGAAGCTACTAAGTTAGACATTTTTAAATCAACAGGTCCAGATAACTTGCATCCAGCCATTTTAAAAGAATTGGCTGAGGCACTCATTGAACCATTAATGTTGATTTTCACTAAGTCTTCGAGCAGTGGGGTACTTCCAGAAGGCTGGAAGAAGCTAATGTGCCAATATTGAAAAAAGGTAAACAGGATGGCCTTGGTAATTATAGGCCTGTCAGCCTGACATCAATCCAGTGTAAGATAATAGAGTAGATGATATGGGACTCTATTAATGAAGAATTAAAGGAGGGTAATATGATTAACATAAATTAACATTGGTTTATGGAAAACAGATCCTGTCAAACTAACCTGATACTTTTTTTGATTAAATTACAAAATTTGATTGATAAAGGTAATAGTGTTGATGTAACATAGTTAAGATTTCTGTAAGGCATTTCACTTGGTACCGCACATGATTTTGATTAAAAAACTAAAATAATATAAAATAAACATGGCACACATTAAATGGATTAAAAACTGCCTCAAATGTAACTGTAAACAAGGAATCATCATCGAGCGGGTGTGTTTCCAGAGGAGTCCCGCTGGGATCAGTTCTTGGCCCTGAACTATTTAATATTTTTATTAGTGACCTAGAGGAAAACACAAAATCATCACTGATAAAGTTTGCAGATGACCCAAACTGGGGGAGTGGTAAGTAGGACAGGTCACTGATTCACAGCAATCTGGATCGCTTGGTAAACT